TAATTTTATTTAATTTAAAGTATTTTTAAATATTTTTATAGGTGTATGATGGTGAAAAGTGTGGACATGTTATATTTGAGCTTAATTATATGTATATATATAAAAAAAATTATATAGGGTGTCAATTAGTAGTAAGGCGCGCCTCAAAAACTCACTGGAAAAGGTTATTCCGACGCTGAAAAATCTTCTACTTGATTATCTCAACCTCAAGAAGTATGAATGTGAAAATAAGAGTTTTCAAGTCATAGAAATAATATATTTTCTAATGCATTATTTGGATCTTTTATTTTCAAGGTATTCAAGTGTTAATAGATCTTCTCAATCTACAATGTTTTTGAAGCTTTAATTTTCATAATTAGGGATGAAAATATATCATTTAACCATTATAGGGTTTTTTGATATCGAAACAACATCTTTTGATACCATTTGAAGGTGCGCCTTACTTTGATTGTTTAAGGAATAACCTTATACAAACTGCTCCTTTTATATTTTGCATTCAAGTCCACTTGTTCAAAGCATACAATGTATTTTAATTATAGAGAAATTTATAGATAGGTCCCATTTTGGTTCTTATATTTACAAATAGTTTCATATGTTTCATATTTTGAGATCAATTTTTTTTTTTAAGAATATTATTTGTATTTTAATTATATCACTTTTTGTATCAGGGCGGTTTAACTTTTTGTAATGGTGCGGTTTGTATAAGGTCCTAAAAAAAATCTTCTGACTGAGTATAACACCATTAAGAGAAAAAGATGTCAAGCGAGTAGGGGTGCCAATGGACCTGGACTTGACCTAGGACCCGCCGGGTATACCTGACATAGGTCAGGTATCGGTCTAGCATTTAGACTTGACATGGCAGGTCGGGTCTGAGTCCAAAACTTGGACCTGAACACCATACAGGTCCGGGTCTGGGTCCAGCTGGATTCGACCCATAAATTGTTAGAGATAAAATACTTTACTTTATGCCCTATTCATTTGGGCGTATTAATGATCGTGTATAATTAGAACTAGTAGTCATCTTTAGTTATTAAACGACAAATCACACGGCTTGAAATCTAATAGTGGGTGATTGTGACCTTGTTGCCAATAATACTGGTATATGATGGTAAAAAATAGGGGAAAAAAATAAAAAAAATAAAAGAAGCTCACATTGAGGGTGACAGTGGACCCGAGACCCAATGGGGTAGACCTGAGACCAAATGGGTACGGGTATGGGTCCAATTTGTAGACCCAACAAGTCGGGTCCGGGTCCAAAACTTGGAGCCGAATCTATTCGGGTCTGGGTACAGGTCTAGCCAGACTCAACCCATACCCGACCCGTTGCCACCTCTACAACGGCGGAATTAGAAAGAGTGATGTTAATGATGAAGGAGGCTTGGGACGGATTTCTGGTTGGATTCACTTATTGAATTTGAGTGGAATAATCGAAGTAAAGCACACCTTCAAATAGTGCCAAATTATGTCATTTCAGTGTTGAAAATCCAAAATATATGAAACTATCTTGAAATTCTTAAAATAAATAGAAAATTTTACTATGAGGATCCCTTTTAGTTATGGGTGTGGTTTGTATCATAGTTACCGGAAGCACACTAGGGTGGCGCTCTTGCTCCAAGACCCAGCTCCAGCACTACATGGCCGGGGATCTCGTCTGAAACCCGTTCCCAACTTGTTGGGAACTCGTTCCTATTTTTAGGATTCTCAATCCCATTCACAATGGAGCTTGCTCCTGCTACCGTATAGATCTCGCCCCTGCTCCCGGAATTTTAGGATCGTGATCCCTACGTTCCCGGAACTCCATCCTTAGGGAGGATCCCACCATGAAAAAAAACAGAGCCAACCACCATTAAAATAGTAGGGTTATCAACCAAAAAGGGAGTAGAAATTGCGCCTCTAGGACTCAAACTAGCTATTCTTGCCCTAATTCCAGAAGGGTAATTTTTGGGCACTCCATTAAAAATGTTAATTTGCTTTTCCAATCCTTTACAAAGGTTTTTCATTTGAATTCCTATGGAAAACCAGTCACCCCAATTCTTGAATTCATCAAGGCCAACTTTTATAACATACCTGAATATCTTTGTATATTCAAGCTTCATGGTTTCCCTATAAAATTAACAGCTTCCCATTTGATTTCTCTGCGTCTTGCTTGAGTTTTTCTAAAAATTAAACGAGCTTGAACTCTTCTCCTCCTCTATCAATGATATCACCAAGCTTCACAACCATGGAGTTGCTTGCAATCCAGTGAATAGTTTTTCATAGAAGATTTTAGCCATTTTCAAAGCTTGTTTGGCCTTTTGGAGATCGCCATGGAGATTCCCAACTGCTAGCAAGCGAGGTTGAGATGGGTATGCAGATTTTTGTTGTTGGTGTGCTTTTGAGGAGAGAGAAAGAGTCCACTCACTGTGAAGTCAGACAAACGTGTTCATAAATTACAGAGAGAAAACGCATATTGGCAGATGGGTCCATTGGATTAGAGGTGCAGAGGTTGAAGAGGTGTTGAATGTGAAGAGGTGGTGAAAGTCTGGTTGAGGGTGAGAGAGATAGAGAGAGAGAGAGAGATAGAGAGAGAGGATAGGTGGAGATTGGCTCCAAGTTAAGTGGAACGCGAAACCTTGAATAGAGCTCAATCCATTTCAAATAGGAACACATTTTTTTTAGATGAGGGCGCAACTCAATTTTAAATGGGATCCAGTTCTTGTTGTCTATGGGAGCGCGATCCTAATGAGCATAGGAACACGATCTCATTTAGGCAGCCCTCGATCTGATGCCCTGGAACCGGAACTGTTCCCGCTCTCGCTCCCGGTATCGGCAATGTGCTCCCTGTTCATACGGGATCTCGATTAGCAAATTTTACCCCCACTGGACCTTGCTCCCCAAGCTCCGGAGCTTTAGGCAGCCCTCGATCTGATGCCCCGGAACCGGAGCCATTCTTGCTCTTGCTCCCGGTAACTATGGTTTGTATAGGGTTGAAGCCCCAAACAATCAAAGTAAGGGGCGCCTTTAAATAGTTTCAAAATATGTTTTTTGGTGCTGAAATTCTTTGTGATGGCTTGAAACTTTATTTTCATAGCTAATTATAAAAATTTAAAAATAAAAAATAGTGCAGATCGAACATATCTATAAACACTTCAAAAATCTTTAAAATTGATGGTTCAAAAATACATTGTAAGATTGGACTATTTTCAAGACTTAATATCTTCATCTTTTTTTCTCATATCCATACATCTTGCTTGAGGTCGAGATGATCGATGTGAGGATTTTTGAGCATCAAAATAACCGTTTCTAGTGAATTTTTGAGGTGAGCGGCTTGGCTCTTTTATAAACTTTTTTGCCTTTGGTTATGCCATTCCTATTTCCATTTTTCCCTCCCTGCATTTCTGTTTCCATCTCTCTCTCTCTAAACCTCAGACAGCGTATCGTCGATTTTTTTAAAAACGTTAAAAACAGAGTTTTTTGGAAAAGTTTTTCAAAAAACGTGTTTTTTCCATAATAACGTTAAAAACACATTTTTCCGGAAAACGAATAAAAAGTGTCCAAAAAAGCGTTTATTTTCTTGTTGATTTCACATAAAAAAAATCCATGTTTCTCTCTCTAGAACCACAAGCTTTTGAAACATGCAACTTACAGAGAAAACCCCCATTTAACCACAATCTTTTTCTTGATTTTACAGAGAAAAACCCAAAAGAATGAAAAGGGTCATGTTTCTCTCTCTAGAACCTCTGTGAAAAATAATCTTATTTTTTAACCTTTGGAAGAGGTACTTATGTGGCCGATTGATTCATGGAGCGTCTATGTATGCATATTATTTTCTTCTGAATTTTGATCCAAGGGAGATAATAATTATAAAAAGGACGTTCATGAGGATCAGGAAGCTTAGATGTTCTAAAGCTCTATTTTCATGGGAGGGATGGGGAAGACAGTGTTGTTCTCAAAATTATAAATACTGAGCTTCAATTGACAGTTTAATTCCCTGTAATGTTTGTTTGCATTCATCAAATGCTACCAGCCATTTTGGGTCTACTAGGTTTAATGGTTATCAAGTATTTGTCAAAAAAAAGAAAAAATAGTCTTATTTTAAGAAAGAAAAATTACATATTACAAAAGGAAAAAAACCACCTCTTCCTTTTCTCTCTCTAAAATCTGCTCCTTCATCTCTTATTGCCTTTTCAAATCTTGCCTTAGCATAAAAAATACCCAAATCACTACAAGCAGAGCATTGATTAGGGTTTCTTTCTCTCTCTAAAATCTTTAAAATCAGGTCCACCATTTTTTCTTGCCTTTCCAAATCTTGTCCAAGCTCAAGATTTCTTTTTCTCTATAAAAGCAGTGATCCCAAAATTTGTCCCATTCTAGTTAAGGTTTCTTTCCCACTTTCGATACAGAGCAACGAAGTCCAATGGTTTCCCTGCTCGAACCCTGTTTTAAGCTTCTTTAATACATTGTATGAGAGGTCAGGAGTTTTTTATATTACTTATTTCACAAAAATGAGGACAATAAAAATTATATACTCTAAGGATGACAGTGTACTTGTACATGAAAACATTATTGGGATTATTGTTAAGCTACCAATCTATTTTATGTTATTGGGATAATTATTAAGCTACTATGGTAGAAAACTATAATACATATTATACATATATTTATCCGATTTTTTTACTCCGAATTTTTTAGTCTAGTCTGATGTATTGGCGATATCTTTACATGAAGTATTTTTGCCAATCCGTATAATTTATCTGATTCTTTCGTTCAACTTTTTAAAATAAAAATAAATTTTTATCGATTTTAAGATAAACCGATTTATTGAAAGTCCCCGACTTACCACCTATGCTCTGAACTCTCATCTCTCACTCTACGCGTTTCTCTTACATTTCAAACTGGAACTTACTTTATTGTTTTCCCTCTCAAAATCCTCTCTCTTTCTCTCAGCCACATCTTTAAAGAGCCGTGGGCCACAAACAGATGACCATATCTAAAACCCAGGACATCTGGAAAATATCTTGAAGGGAAAAAAATTGTCAGAAAAGGGGAAGAAAATAACGACGTGGAAGTATATTTTCACTGCAACAAACCAACCGGGACTCAAGTCGAAGAACCCACAAAACCCATTTGGCGCCATGGATTTTTCATTCAATAAATAATAGTTCTTCCCAAAAATGGCATTCTCTGCCACCCCATCTCCTCTTCATCACCACATTGAGTTATTCATTAAGGTAAGCAATCCAAATACTCATATTCTCACCGGAAAATGGAAATCTCATTCTTTATCTCTGTCTAAGTCTACTGTAACTGTTCATGACCATGAAAACATTCCAAACAAGCCAAATAACAAGCAAAAAGTTGATAGTTTTGGATTCAGCTCTCAGGAGCTTGAAACCATACCAGAAAAGCGAAAAACCCAGTTAAAAATGGATGGGTTTTTCCGGGAACTAGGCTTACTTTCCATTGATGGGCATGAAATAACTCCTAGAAAGGCACAAAACCAGCAGGACAATGGTGGGTCTAGTTACAATTCAACTGATATTGGAAGTGTTCTTTCAAGAAAGGTTGGAAATGGGGTTTTGGTGGATTCTCTGTTCATGGTTCAATCCATAAATTTGAGGAGTTTTGATGAATGCCAGGAATGTCTCATTTCAGCTCTGCGAATTTGTCGTAGATTTGATGCTCTAGCTGAAGGCCTGCAATTACATGCTCGTATAATTGTCACTGGAATTGAACTTGATGCTTTCTTAGGAACCCAATTGTTAGAATTCTACTGCAAATGCTGCACAATTGTAGAAGCACTTAAGCTATTTGATATACTACCAGAAAGAAATGTTTTTACCTGGACTTCCATTATAGGATTGTACTGTGCCAATGGAGATTATGAAGAAACTTTGGGATTGTTTTATGAGATGTTAGAAGAAGGTATAAGACCAGATAATTTCATTTTCCCAAAGGTTTTTAAGGCCTGTGCAAAACTCAAGGATTACAAAAGAGGCAAGGAAATTTACCATTACATGCTGGATATTGGGTTCGAGGGGAACCAATTTGTGCATAAATCTGCCATTGATATGTTCGTTAGCTGTGGTAGAATGGATATAGCCAATAAAATATTTGAAAAGCTGCAGTTCAAGGATGTTGTTTCATGGAACATGATGATTTCTGGGTATGCGTCAAAAGGAGATTTTCAGAAAGCTTCAGAGTTTTTTGAGAATATGCAGATTGCAGGAGTGAAGCCGGACCATGTCACCTGGAATTCAATGATTTCTGGTTATGCACAGCATGGGGATTGTGAAAAAGCCTCTGAATATTTTCTTAAGATGCAACGCTTAAAAGATATTAGGCCAAATGTGGTTTCCTGGACGGCTTTAATAGCAGGAAATGAGCAGAGTGGGCTTTATTCTCAAGCTCTCGGAATCTTCAGGGCTATGCTTGGAGAGGGCGAGAAGCCCAACTCAATTACTATAGCTTCAATTCTTTCGGCCTGTACAAGTTTGTCTCTTCTCCACCATGGCAAAGAAATCCATGCCTACTGTATAAAGACTGATGGGTTGGTATCTGATTTGCTTGTTAGCAATACTTTGGTGGATTTCTATTCAAAAAGTCGAGACATAGAGATTGCTCGCCATAATTTTGATAAAATCAAGAAAAAGGACATAGTCTCATGGAATGCCATGATATCAGGGTATGCACAGAGTGGGAACAAAGAGGAAGCCAGTAAATTGCTTCGAGAAATGCAGTTGCATGGTGTGGAACCTGATGTGGTCACATGGAACGGACTAATTACAGGTTTTACCCAGAAAGGCGACGGGGCAACAGCTCTTGAGTTTTTCTACGAGATGGGCAAAACTGGAAACCAACCCAACTCCATCACTATATCAGGAGCTCTAGCAGGATGTGCCCAAGTGAAGAATTTGAAAGTCGGGAAAGAAATCCATTGCTATGTTACCAGAAATGAGATCGAAATGTCAACTGGTGTGGGAAGTGCACTTATAGCAATGTATTCCGGGTGCGAGAAACTAAGAAATGCTTGCCTTGTGTTCTCTGAGCTATCATATAGAGATGTTGTGATATGGAATGCCATTATAGCTGCTAGCACCCAAAATTCACAGGGGGTTAGCGCCTTAGAGCTGCTTCGAGATATGCAGCTTTGGTCTGTGGAACCCAATACAGTGACCGTGGTTAGCGCTCTCCCGGCTTGTTCAAGACTAGCAGCTTTGAGACAGGGGAAAGAGATGCACCAGTACATAGTTAGGCATGGATTTACGGACTCTAGCTTTTGTTGGAATGCTCTCATAGATATGTATTCAAGATGTGGGTCAATAAAGAAAGCAAGGAGGATCTTTGATATTATGCCTCAAAGAGACTTGGTTTCTTGGAATGCCATGATAGCTGGCTATGGCATGCATGGGTTTGGCATGGATGCTGTTAACCTCTTTCACCATTTTAGGGTTTTAGGACTTTGCCCAAACCACTGCACATTCACTAATTTGCTTTCAGCTTGTAGCCATGCTGGTTTAATTGATGAGGGTCGCCAGTTTTTTGATATGATGAGATTGGATTATGCCATTGAACCCGCTGTGGAGCAATATGCTTGCATGGTTGATCTCTTAGCACGCTCAGGTCAATTTGAGGAGACAATGGAATTCATATCTAGAATGCCCATGGAGCCCAATGCTGCAGTTTGGGGATCTGTTTTGGGGGCTTGCAGAATCCATGGAAACCCCGAGCTTGCCGAAAAAGCAGCTGATTATCTCTTTGAGCTTGAGCCTGAAAATTCAGGGAATTATATACTTTTGGCTAATATATACTCAGCAGCTGGTCTATGGGAAAATGCAGCAAAGATAAGGCGTTTAATGATGGAAAGAGGAGTGAAGAAGCCCCCTGGTTGTAGTTGGATAGAGGTACAGAGGAGGGTGCATTGCTTCATAGTTGGGGATTCTCACCCCATGATGGATTTGATCTCAGAGAAGATGGGAAGTATAAATTTGAAGATTAGAAAGATGGGTTATGTTCCAGACACAAGATTTGTGTTGCAAGATGTGGGGGAAGATGAGAAAGAGTACAGTCTTTGCTGTCATAGTGAGAAGATGGCTATTGCCTTTGGGCTAATCAGCACTTCTTGTGGAACCCCACTAAGAATTATAAAGAATTTGAGGGTTTGTGGTGACTGCCACTCTGCAACTAAGTTTATATCCAAGGCAGAAGGGAGAGAGATCATAATGAGGGACAGCTATAGATTCCATCATTTTGTTGATGGGGCCTGTTCTTGTGGGGATTATTGGTGAAATGGGTAGGTAATCGTTTGAGCAATTTGGTTTCCAAGGAGAAGTTGCTCGTGTATCATAGAAGAGGAAGGTTTCAAGAAAAGGGAACAAAATATTTGTTATTCTCAAGCATGCTTTTGTCTCTCTTTTTTTGTAGTCCAACAGTTTGCAATTTATACTGGCACTAACAATTAGTGTACGAATGAACATCCTGCTACTATAGTTAATCTGACAATCAGATATTTGTTTTTCTTATAGAAATGATTCAGACAATTGTTTCTTGTTAGTCCTTCTGCTACTCTTTTTCTTATATCTGTCACATAGTTTCCATGAGCTCAACAGCGGGTATCCTCTACCAGGGATTTTAGTATGTGAAATGCTACAAAAAGAGTGATTGATGAATCAAAATGGTGTTTGTTGTATGAACAGCTGTGAGTACTCGGGCCTATACAATTAACATAGCCATGCTGTCACTTGTCATATTGACCTCTTGAAGTTGCTGCCTAGACATGGTTTGAGTTCAAAACTTATTAAGGGTACCAGTCTTGTGGAGTTTCAGCATCTCTGCAGTGTTGTAGTTCTGCATGCTCAGAAATACCATATCGCCTGATTCTTCTATCTAAAAGGTCCAAGTTGTTGTTTAAGTAAGATCCAAATTGTACTGTTGTTATATTTGTTATAACCTCTCTCTCTCTCTCTCTCTCTCTCATGACCACTTTTCTAGAGTTCCAGCGTCTCTGCAATATTGTAGTTCTGCATGCTCAAAAATACCGTATCTCCTGATTCTTCTATCTAAAAGAACCGAGTTGGTGTTTAAGTAAGATCCAAATTGTAGTGCTATTATAGTTGTTCTAACCTCTCTCTCTCACATGGCTAATTTAGTCAATGTCATTTCTTGAAAGCTTTCTCAGTTATCATTCGTATGTGAATTATACACATACGTCTTTTGCTTTCGTTCGTTTCAATATTCTTAGTATGTCCATTCACTTCTACTCATTAAGCTTTTCAATCTTACACTCGAGTTTTAAAAATGAAAGCATTTAAATGCCAACAATGTTCTTTGTATGAACAGGTTGTATTTCTAGCTAATTGTAGCTAAACACAAGTCGCTCCATTTTTTCCCTTCAGATACCTAGGTAGAATGCTTAGCCTTCATGTTATTGAGTATCAATAGATTTTACCTGAAGTTAATTTAGAAAATAGAAAGTCATACACATTTGAAAATTTTCTTGGATAAATTTGAGCTTTTCTTCTCCGGTTAAATATTATTTATACATATCTAGTATTTATGATTATCATTTTCTTTAGTGCCTGTACGATTAGCAATATGCCTTTGAAGCATTTACAATCAATGAAACATATGAATTTCTATTGAAAATTTTCTATTATGGAATCAGAGGATTTGGAGATCCTTAAGACTCTTCAAGAATGTTTCCCCTATAGGAGAATGAGTCTTAACAAATACAGCAGGATATCCAATGGGAGCTTCAACCCAAGCTTCCATTCCTTTGTGGGTATGATTTGAATGACAAAATCGATTGCCATATAATTTCCCTGTCCATATGTTTTGCCACAAGGATCCCTGTGATACAGGAAAATATGCCTTAACTTTCTTCTTCCCTTTATCTAGGACAGGAACAACTAATATTTCGGAACCGACCAGGAATTGCTGGTAAGTGAGTCTATGCACATTCTGATCATCTGGATAGTGTATAAATAGATGCCTTGTCACAGGCAGGCCATTCTGAGCAGCTTCCTGTTATATAGGTTCTAACTGTCAGTGCAAGACAAGGTAATTGAAAGCCAAATTTTAATGGTGACAAATATGAGAGATTGAGAATGTACCCACATACGCACCAAAGTAATGAGATGATAAATCAGAAGAAATATGTTTTTTGCTTACCTTCACAAGTTGGATTCGGTAGAACTTCCAAGCCTTATATACCTTTGCAAAGCGAGCAAAGTGCGTAAAGGTCCTCCTATTTGAGTAGAACTGGGTGTTGAATGATGGATTGTTTCCCTTAAGAGTCACAACAAATCTAGAGTAAGTGCTTATATAACAGGGATCTTGTCAGACTGAGATGGATAATTGCCATGCATAAAAAGGAGATAATGTATAAAAGATTAAGATAACAATGATGCATCATACTAAGAGTATAATGATTGACTGGAAAGACATGGACAATTACCAGAGAAACAATTTAAAGAACTCAAGCAAACTTGGAATTAGGAGGCAGGGACAAACACACTCCTCAAACCATCTTAAAGATGGCAAGAAAAAATATGTTTATTATGAGGAAATCTAACTTACTTCATGGGTCCTGAAAATTGTGGTGAATGCATTTAGCTCCATCCAACGTAATAGCAATTCCTCGCTTCTCTGGTACTTAATCAAAGGAAAATTAACTGCACAGTATCCCCCAATGTCACTATGGTTTAGTGAATAACCGGATAGTCCACTACTGAGCAGACCCACCACTGCACTCTTTATTCCATCATTTCTTTGCCAGCTTACCATTTGATCACCCTCCCAAAACAAAGAAGCCCACTTGGGGCTTCCTCTATAACCAGCCCTCACAAAGAACACCAAGCTTTCTTCCGAATCTTCTCTTTGCTTCGCTTGATTCATTGATTTCCACTCATCAACAAACTCCCTATTTATTTCAGCCCACAGTTCAGGGTATCTGTTATGAGCTGAAATTGGGTCCTCACCTGATCAAAGGACAAAGTTACACAATAAGTATTTACTTATTAAGATCGATGGTAAATTTTCTAAAAATTTTGTTTATAAGGAACTGCCACACTGGTTTAGTTATCCTCAAAGAAACAAATATATAGAATAGAAAAAGGACCTCATATAGGCTTATTTTTTAGCATATAATTCCCTGCCAAATAACTTTTATAAGAGATGAATGGGAGGTAGAATCCAATTCCTACAGCATAGTAACTTTATAAGGAATACGAATAAAGCATGAAATTAATATGGTCAGCTCCATAAGTCCTGTAGTGTAGTAATATTACACACACACACACACAGTTTTAGATATACTAGATATAGAAATAGATAGATGCATAAATCGATTGATAGATAGATAAATAAATAACAAAGAAATTACATTTTTCAGCTTAAACCTGAATAGAGGCATGCATCCAGTGGTAGACCTTCACCAAAATCTGCCATCCAACCACTTATCCCACCATCCACCATCTCTTGCAAGATCTGCTTGAACCACCTTCGTGATTTAGGATTAGTAAAATCCAGCATACCAACATCAAAAGCAGTGTTTGGGACCATGTAAGGTGAACCAAATTTGTCTTTCACGAAGAGGTCTAGCTTCTTTGCTTCCTCAAATAGGTGCTTCTTCTTGTTGGGCTTCTCATCAACCTCCAAACCACGGAAACTTGTTTAAGAAAATTGAATGATAATATGAAATATTGTAAGGGAAAGCACACCATGATCCAATGGACTATGGTACATGGCACCCCAAGCATTAACAGCATTCATACCCATTGATGGTTTGATTGGCGCATGCTATCCACCATCAATTTTCATTGATGGTGGTTGATTAGCTGCACCAAGGTGAATGTTCTTGTGGACCCCAATCCAATGGCCTTAGACTACATGTACCATAGTCCAACAGAGTATGAAATAATTACAGATATATTAAGAGTCAAGAGACCATAATGCTTCCATAGAGGGGGTTTCCATGGATGGAAAAGAAAAAGAAGGAGAAGATACCGGAGCAAGACAAGGATTGCAATAACCCATGGTTCTAATGTCATGAGAACGAAGATCCTTCACTAATTCTGACCAGCCTGCATAGTGATTCGTGTCCACCTCCCAGTTCCACCACAGTTGTGAACCAATTATTGTTTTTCTTTGTCCAACCCAATCCTGTTGAGTGACCACCATGAATATCATGGAAAAGCCAAGAGAAATGGATGTTTTTTATAGAGAAAGTAGCACAGTCAAATGCGCTGTGATACAAGGTACTCCAATGTTTTATACAAGAAAGTACACCATAGCTGAATAGACTTTGGTATCAGGCACTCCCACGCTACGTCTGCTGCATATTCCCATTAATGGATCATTGGAGATCAACTAGAGTGGGACCAACAAGGATATTCACATAGGTATAGTTAATCTCCAATCATCCTTTATCAATAACGAACAGTGGATGTAGCTCAAATACTACATACCACAGTCCATCAAACTAGGCGCTACTTTTCCTTTTCATAAAGGTATCTGCCATGCTGTGAAGTTTGTTACGTCCATCAAGATTTTTGGAGCGTCAGATTTCTTGGGTCGATAATCTAGAAAAATGGAAAGGTTGAGGAAGATGTTGCACATAGAATTAGAGTTGGGTGGCAAAGTAGACATGTAGAACTGGAGTTTTATGTGATCGCCGCATACCAATAAAGTTGAAGTGGAAGTCCTATAGGACAGCTGTGAGACCAGCTTTGCTTTATATGAGACAAAATATTGGGCGGTCAAGAAACAATATACCCATAAGATGAGTATAGCTGAGATGAGGATGTTGAGATAGATGAGTGGCAAGATAATAAGAGATAGGATTCGATATGAATACATTCGGGAGAACTTAAGTGTGACTCCAATAGGCAATAAGAAGAGAAAAACTAGAGCAAACTTAGTGGGTTGGCCATGGGCAGCGCAGACCCAGTACGACACCCGGTAGGAGGTGCGAGTTGGTTCAAGTGGAAGGCTAAAAAATGGCACCCTTGATAGAGCAGAATGACAGACTAGGATTCATGCAGCCAACCCCAAATAATTATATAAAAGCTTTGATGACGATGATTATGATTATGAGATCATTCTTGGTGGGATTATTTTTCATCATTTTTCAAGAGTAATGCAAGTGCAAAGCGTGTCTTTCATTTGGACTAAAGTGTGTATTGTGTTAAAATCAGCTCTAGTCGAGCAGTAAATGCAAACCAGTTCAACCAAATACCTATGTTGTTTATTGCACTTTCACTACAAATAAAAAATTAGGAATTGTATATTATAAGATCATTCACTTTGGTACAAGGAGTCACAATCACTCTTAGTCATCGGATGTGAAGTCTGACAGATTGGAGTATGTTACAACATTTGAGAAATTTTATTTTGGACTTTGTGCCTAGTCAATAGCACATCCTCAACGACTCAATTTCACATCTAACGGTCAATAACCATTGTATTCTCTTTGTACCAAGAGTGAAAAGTCTCAATGTATACATTTCTAAAAAATTATCCCACTTGAAAATGACTAGCAATAGAGTATGGGGTTTAAATTTTTATCGGGTATTCTTATTGGAAGTTACCAAGCTTCACATTGTGAGATCTATGCCTGTAATCCTTTTGATAAATGATGTAAGACTTTTGACTAAAAACGTTATGCTAGGATTTTTCTGGAATTAATATTGTAAACTTGTGCTAGAATTACTTGGCAACTCTGGGTGCTTTGATATATGGACATAGTGCTTGTGGGTTGTCACCTGTAACCAAAATGCAGAAATGGGAGTGTCATATTGTTGCAAGAGGTCCCAAACTCGACGAACAGCTCCTGTTCCTCCTTGCATCCCCACAATGGCGCCAGAGATTATCCAATCTGGAAGTTCAGGAAGTCTCCCTATTGTTTCTGTATATTGTTCAATCAGCTCAGCTGGTGAGTTCCCATGCAATATCCTTCCTCGGGCTGAGGGACCATATACCTGTGTCATGTTAAATGGTTAGAGAAAGGGGGATCTCTCTCTCTCTCTCTCTCTCTCTCACACACACACACACACACACACGCGCGTACCAACACACCAGAGGTGATAGGTGAGAGAATGATTTTGAGAGGATCACCTAGAAATCAGTTAAATGATAACAAGGTGGCCAACATTTCAACTACCCAGAAAGTGGCCAAAGAGATCTTTGATATTGCTTTTAAGTGTTTGAATTGAATAACTATACCTGAAGCTGAACTCTGTCTCGCTTCCTCAGATCGAAGACTGAATAATTGTAGCCTTCGAGGTAGAGAGATCTCATCTTAGATGTCATGTAGAATGGGGAAGGTGCATAAGTGGTACTCCAGTTGCCTCCAGATCTAAATCATCACAACAGAAAGAAATGAAAAAATGGAGAGAGAGAGAGAGAGAGAGAGAGAGAGAGAGAGAGAGAGAGAGAGAAGAGAGAGAGAGAGAGAGTCAGTGCGTCGACGTAAGTAAGTTAAAGTAAAACGTAAAAGTAAACGAAAACGAAGTAACGTAAGTTAGTAAGTTCGTTTACGTACGTACGTCGTC